GAGAGAGAGAGAGAGAGAGAGAGAGAGAGAGAGAGAGAGAGAGAGAGAGAGAGAGAGAGAGAGAGAGAGAGAGAGAGAGAGAAGAGAGAGAGAGTCATTGTCATGCCAGGACGGACATTTGCAGGGCCGTAGTTTTCCTTCCTTGAGGGTGGCAGCTTGTAAGGAGAATCTTGGAAATGTAGGTTTACCTCACTGAGCGGGCAGGCGCAGTGTGTAAGATGAGTCCTCTTTAGATGTTTCATTCTCGTGACTGCCGTCAATTAGGAGAATAATGCATGGAGAGACGCCATTTGACTAAGGAACATTCGTCATGCTCTTGCTGATATAAAGTCTGTGATGAAATGCCCATGATTTCCTCCTCTCTCAATCTCCCTCACATGGAGTTCTTGAGCCTTTATGTGGCCAAAAAACGTGTGCTAGCTGCCGGTGGTTCTGTATCTGTCTAAGGATTTCTACACCTTACTGCACCTCACAAATATGTAAATAATCAGCCGGGAGACTGCGCAAAGAACTGTACTGCAGTTGACCAATCTGTGATCAGTGTTTGGAGGCCATTCATTTTTGCCATGCTTCCAAACTCTGTGGTGTACCGGGACTGGCAGCCGGTACTGTAATTATGCCGATGGTCTGTTAAGTCCTTCACTTCTTGTCCTTGTACCTACTTTTCTGGCAGGGGTAACCAACACACCCGGCATACGGTACTTCCTTGCCTTACTGTATGAATTCCAGTCAATCAAAATTTGAAGTCATAATCTGTTCATTTGCACTGCCGTCACGATTTTCGTGACCGGTGACCCGCTGCCGTTCACAGACCCCGTAAACAATGAACGGCAGTACGGCACTGACCGAGTCTGACCCCTGCACTTTTGATGGGTAGTGGACAGACAGGTTTTTTTTTTCAGTAAGATCTCTGCGTACTTCCTGTGTTCGTGTCGCCCCGAACTGATGACACGACCTCTGGCTGATGTTCGAATCGCCATGGGAGATTCCATGGGTATATTGCATTTTTGAATATGTTCCATCGGCAGGTTTCATGTTTCGCATTCGCTTCAGAATCTTCTGTTGGGATGTGTGTTGCTATGCTATGTGTTCATCATATGTGTTAGGAAGACAGGTGTCAATTCACCAATCAAAATGTTATTGTCCTCCTGCACCCATCCACCCATGATCTAACATCGTATCGGCACGTGAAGGTGTGACAAAGTATACGCTTATGATTGTCGTAGTACACAACAGTTACTACGGTTGTCGAAATGGGAGAAGCAGTTGTGGAACTTGTGGGAACCAATTTTTATACCCTTGCATGGATGGCATGACCTATCACTGCATCTCTTGCCCTTGCTTACCAGTACGGCAGTGCGACATAAATGAAACTGCTTTGGTCATGTCTTCCACCCATGGTCATTGCTATGGCTGCCAATGTGTTTGTTTCCTTCGCTTTTCATGTTGTTCTTCCCTCCAGCTCTCCTCAAATGACCAGTGCTTGCTATGGCAACAACATAGGGTTCTACATTTCACTGTCGTTTCCCCGCAGCAATCAACATACGACCTTACAGTTGGCTGTACACGGACATGGCACATGATGGCAGTGGTAAGGAATGCTCAGTCAACAAGCAGTACAGGGAAGGGGGGCGGGGGGAGGGGAGGGAAGAAAAGAAAAACAGGTCGTCTTGTTGGACTGGGTTTGGAAGAAGTGTTCAATGCAAACAACACGCGCCGAGGGCGTGGTGGCATCGGCATCATGTGGTTTTGGACGTTGTGCTGCTGTCATTGTGCGAATTTGTGGGCGAACTGCGTCAAGGCCACTCCCTGGTGCGACCGGAAAAGACAATAAATAATCAATACCATACATGTAATTGAAATAAAAGCAACATGCTATAACTGTCACATATGCGGAAATTGTCACCATGTGAGGACCACAACACCCTAAGTCTGTTTTCCCTGAGATGTCATCATTGAATGCTTCCCATGCCACTGAAAACAGGCAGACCATAGTCCACGAGCGGCGGTCACAAAATGCAGCATTGCCCATAAAACATGGACAGGCTGGCTGCACTCCACAATTGCAAGCACATGTCACCACTCTCTCTCTCTCTCTCTCTCTCTCTCTCTCTCTCTCTCTCTCTCTCTCTCTCTCTCTCT